CTAGAGCACCACATAATCGATCCTAATATAAAATAAAATAAAAATATATTTATGAGAAGATCATGGGATAACTTACATTAAGACGTCTTCAAAAATGTAATGATAAATTGTAATGATCAAAAAATACTGCCCATAAAAATAATTTTACATTAATTGATTGTATTTCATCTTCGGCAGTTTCATTATTTTCATCAGCCTATAAAATAGAAATAAATAATATTCTTTTTTATATTATTAATTCAATTTACTGATCGATAAATTTCATCGAGAGTACATCCAAAATCTTGTTGAATACATTCAAGAAAAAGATTATGATTATAATTCTAAATTAACAGAAAATATATTTTCTTCTTCAAACCATTTTTGTACTTAATTCACATTCAAATTTTTCGCCAAGATTATCTGATGTTATACCACAAGTATCTTCTAATACATGAAGAAACTCTTCTTGATCTCGTATCATTGCCCTTTTAGCTAATTGTATTAAATCCTAATTGATAATTGTCATTCTATTAGTTAAAAATTAAATTTAAAATAATATTTTACTTCTTCAGGCATATCTTGATTTGCACGTAACATTCGACTTGCAAATTTTGGTTGATTTAAATCAAAAGCTACTGATAAATGTAATTTTAATGATGATAAACGTTGATTTTGATTTGCTGAAAAAACTGAAAGATTCAATTGAATTAATTTAATTGTTTCAATTAACCTGTTACTGATGCTTCAAGAAGATATAAAGAAAGATCATCATCGTCACCACAAACACGTATTTTTTTACATCGAGTTACTGCCAAATAAGTTATTAATTTTAATAAATCATCAGTTAAATCATTGCCAAGTAATTGATTAACAAGTACTTTTAATTCTCGAAGAAATGTTGGTGTTAATAGACTAAAATATATATTTTCTTAATATATAAACATATACATATATGTTTTTGTTAACTTTACTTTTGTTCTGAACCTTGTGTACATGTTCCACCACTTCGAATCTTATCACAAACCCAATGATGTATGGGATTATATTTATAATAATTAAATCTATCTAGAATACCAAGTAGTAATAGACAACTATTGAATATGAATAATCAAGCCAGAGCAACCATTTAAATAATTAATATTTAGCACTATTCAGTCGATCCATAGAAACTAAGTTGTATAATATTATCAAGTTATATATTAATTTAATTTAAATTCGATTGATAAAAAAGAAAATATTAATTAGGAGCAGAAAGATGAAATAGATATACCTAGTTAACATTATTTGATGAAATATAATTGAATAAAGATATAACAAGACAAATAAGTTCATCAATCATTTTCAACACTAAAGTTTTATGAAAGAAAATTTATATATATACGAAGGAACAATTATTTTTCTTTTTCTATTCTTTTCTAGTATTCTCTTAAACATCACACTACGATGATGTCATTTCTCCCTTTCGTATTGCCATGTTTAAGAAAATACTGGAAAAGAATAGAGGAAGAAAAAGAAAAAGAAAAATAATTGTTCCTTCATATATATGTGAAAACTTTCTTTCATAAAATTTAGTGTTGAAAATGACCCTGTGAAAGGTATCGAAAGCTTCACTGTATTGTTTTTTCTCGAAGAAAATAAATGATCGATGCACTTGTTTGTCTTGTTATATAGATATATCTAAGTGAATTGTTAATAT